CAGCCTCTTGAATCAATGCTTCACAAAAGTGTTTTGCAAAAAAAACTACAAGTCTTTGGGTTTTGTTTAACCACCCTCCAACTGGTAGAAAGAGGCTGAGGTTTTAGCTCATTGTAAAAATAGCTCAAGTTCAGGAAGAGGTTACCAATTGGGTTATAGGTCTATGTTGACCTAAATTCTTTATTTCTGAACATCAAAAGTGTTTAAATCAAACGTTTGGTTTCTCACTACTAAAAAGATGCTCTAAGCTATGTTTCATTAAAGTAATGGGGTCCTCCTTAGTTTTGATGCTTGATCTTCTAGACTTAGGCTACATTCACATCGCAGAGTGAAGTGACCCAAATCCGATTTTTTTTTTCTTTGTTTAACCATCTTGGAAAGATTGTTTTTAAGGTTGGGTAAGATCGCTAGATGCTCTCCAGCACTACCATCCATGTTTACTTCCATAAACACAGGGCACGCTTGCTTGTGACATCATTGCGTCCTCTACTGCTCATGCGGGACACTTAATCTGTATGAATGCAGCTCACACAGGAGATCACGTACAAGTCGCATATATTTGGAAATGTGAATAGCGACGCAAAAAAAATCTGAATTGAGCATCAAGGCCTGCAGTGTGAACGTAGCCTTAGACACTTGGGCTACGTTCACAGCCACTTGGCCAGTTGGTCCTGAATCCGATACGAATCTGATCTTTTCAAATGCGATCTGTCTGAACGGCCAGGTCGCATTCATCCGACCTGAACACAATACCAGACAAAGGTCACTATTATGGGTCTTGCTATGAAGAAGCGGCAAGAAAAAACAAACATGGCGAAAGATGATGCGGAGAGCAGTATTGATGTTTAACCATCTTTAAAAGATGGAAATTTGAACGGTATCGCAAATCCGATTTAAAAAAAAAAATAAATAATCGGAATTGAGCATCAAAGCCTGCAGCGTGAAATTAGCCTTAGACTTTAGAGTGCAGCTGTGATTAAATGACCTACACATGAACGTGTTGGCTTATCAGATGTTTCTGGAAGCTTTGAAGCTCCAGTCTTTATTTGCAGGTGTTTGTTTATAGTAGAGGTTGCAAAACTCTTCAGCTTCTGACCCAAAATTTGGTATCAGATTTGACTGATGACCTAAACCATTAGCTGGGTAAACCAACATCTCTACAAAATCAATTAATGACTGGTCTTATCGTTTTTTGTGTGTATGCTTTAGGTTATTTTAACTCTAACATAAATGTGGATCCCAAGACCCTATGCTGGTTGATTAAGGACCCCAACTTTGCAAAGCAATTGGTCTGAATACAAATGCAGTTTCTAGATTTTAAGACCTCTTACTTTTGTTAATGAGATGCATTGATTTTTGTTTTCTTATATAAGCCATAACATTTGCAAAAACAGAACATGCAGTAAAATTGACAAACAAGACAAGTCCAGGATGACCATAATTGCAGCATTACATCTGCACACTATAATGCAACCTATTGATCTCTTCAAATAATAAATATTCCTTTTTCTACCTTTTTAAAGTAATGGATGTAAAAAGCTCCTGGAGAAAAGCTGTTGATGAGGATGAAGCGAAAAGACACTCCCTGCAAACTGAGTCCAACGACAGCATATCTGGGCGACTCAGTCCTGTGAGTAGGGTGCTAAATCTGAGCCCCTCCCTGGCTGAAAACCAGACATCTCCCCCCACTCTTGGAGATCGGGAAGCCTCCTCCGCCTGCCAACAGGGACTCGTCCCCAAATCTTCTCTTTTATGGGAAACTTTCTACACAGAGGCTCATGACACCCCCAGCGGAACTGGCAGCAGCGCCGTACAGTTCAGCCTCGAACACGAAACTCTGCCTGAAATGCCGAGCTGTGATAGTTTGTACCTGGAGGATGAAGCGGTGGATATGACGAGTGAGGAAGAGGAGCTACTCGTCCCCTCCTTAAAGACTGATTTAAAGCAGACCCCAACCCCTTCAACTCATCCAGAGAGGAATGCAGTCTCCCTGATTGAAGGCTCCCCTGGGGGTCTTCTTTCAGATCACAGGATCTCTACTAAAGACAAAACCTGGCTGACTGAACCCACAGCATCAGAAGACGATACCAACAAGGTGTTTTCATTGGATCTGGATTCACTGGATTCTCCTCGAAAGGAGTACAGCCTGCCCACACTGATCACCTTCTCCCCTATTGATGACATGAAGTGTTAGCAGCATTAAAGGCAGCTCCTTTCTCTTTTTAAATTGTTGGTGACGGACTCTTGATTCCAATTGTGCTCTAAATGGATAACATTTGTGTATATAGCTGTAAATAAATAAATCACATCTGTTGCACTCTGGATTAGCTCTAATTGGATTGAAGAAAATCATCCCTGAACTGATCCACTAAGATTGTCACAGTTTATAACTTCTGTCTTGTCTGACCCTGTGTAGATCAGAGAATAACTTGAATAAAGAAAACTTTGCAAAGTAAAATGTTGTTTATATCTCACCACTCTGTTATGAAAAATAACTTCCAAGTGCACCGAGGGAAAAATAATTGGAAGCTTGCAATCGCATAAGTATAAAGGAGCAAATGCTAGTCATTTATGTTTAGGTATCTGAAATATCTACTAAACAAGACTGAGATGTTTTTCCCCTGAAAGCTTAGAATCAATGATTAACACTTTTTGATATTTATTACAAGAATGCAAAGTCAGGAGGGTTGACAGACATTTATTCCTTGCAGTTCCATCCTCTTAAACTAGGGGGTGTCAAAAGCTGCAGTATTTAAGTGTCAAGTTCACACTAAACTGGACAGAAAGCCGGAAGTTGGTAGACTTCTTTTTTTTTTTATTAACCAATTTGATATTGGTTTAACTTTAAGATTTTTTTTTCTTAATTAGAACTAAATGTTACGCGTTTAACTTGCTATACAGGAGGCCCTGGGTCTGCAGTAGTAAATGGATTATCTGGTAAATTGATCAATGCAGTTAGCACATCTATAGTTATGTTTGAAACTTAAAGGTGCACAGTAAAATCGAATTTGACAAAAGTAGTGAAATGAAAAATTGAACTCATAACATAAATATATTAAACTATAATTTTGAGCAACAGTGTTATCAATTTTTTGAGTTTTTTTTTAATTAAAACTTTGAATTTACTCTTTATTCTAATGGGAGGGCATGTCAACTTTCAAGCACAACCTTATGGATCCTTGTTGAGGTTTAAAATTTGAGAAGTGAAACCTAAATAAACCTTGACTTTCTAATTTGGTGATTGTAATGAATGTAAATCACATTTCCCAAATTGAAATAATTTTCAGGAACTTCTCTTTGGTCAAGTGACCTTTACAGGTTGCTCTATGCGTGTCCAACTGAATCCAGCCTGCTACCACAATTTATCTAAAGCATTTTACAAAATGTGCTTTTAATCTTGACAAAGTGGATAAAATGGCTAAAAAGATTGCTGTAGTGGTAAATGAAATAATAAAACCAAAAGTTTGATTTATACCGTTTAAATTGGCCCTTCTGAAGACTAACGCTCAAGTGGCCTGATATAAAAAATGTTTGGTTTCCCTGCTGAGAGGGCAGATTAAAAAAAAAAACGACTAAAGGCTGGGCATTATGAGCTTATTGCTTCTGCAAATACAACCTTTTTCAGTTTTTTCTTTCTTTTAATTTATGTTACAAGGACATATACTGTCATGTATTGTATACTTTGGTTTCTGAAAATATCAAAAATATTAAAGATTGAAGCTAAATTCCTAGTCGATGCTATCAGTTGAAATTGTTTTTTTAGACAATTGTGTTGAAGTCTGATTTTACTGTTCATTTACATAAATTTCATTAATTGCATCAGCACCACTTGTGGCAAAATGCTCCCACAGCATGATAGTGCTACTACCTTACTTGACAGTTCAATGTTTTAGTTTTAAAAGCCTCACACTGATTACTTAGAATAGCCCAGGCTTTAATTCCTCTGACCATAAGGCTTTTTTATCAACATTAGCGACTACAAATATCAAAACTTACAGTAACTGGGATTACTTTTCTTTTTCAGGATCCTCTCATTTGTAACTTTACTACTCTTGGTTAACTCTGAATACTGATAGTGTCCTTGCAATTACCATGGCCCCTGATGGGTTTATATGGGTTAATAATACTGCAATTTGAGAATGTATTTTTAAATCGTAGGACCGTCTGATTAGTTTAACTGGTTTGGAGTATGCTGAGGAACCAGAAGGTTCACAGAAAAAGGTAAATGAGAGTGTAAAACAAAAAAATATATTACTGTGATTTGGAAAGGTATTCATAATCAAATTGATGAATTGAGTTTTTTAAATCTTAATAATTTAACATTATTGATCTCACATTGGAGGATTTTACCTCTGCATTTAACCCATCCCCTTGGGGAGCAGTGGGCTGCCATCGTGGGGTGCAATCAGGGGTTAAGGGTCTTGCTCAGAGACCCACAGTGGCAGTCTGTGTTAGGGGTTTTCGAACTCACAACCTCAGGACTCCAAGCTCCTAACCACTAGGCTGCCACTCCCCTGTTTAGATATAGGATTTAAAAACACATGTTTAAATTGCATTATTTAATAATGGATTAATAAATACACTTTAAAAATCCTAATGATAATTAAATTTTTATTTAATTTGATTTTAAAAAATGGCTGATTAAACACTTTTTAAATTGTATTCCTAACTGTTAGATTTAAATGGTATATTTTCATAGGTCCTCCATACATCATCACCAAAACATTAAAATATACTAGCTGGCAATACAAGCGTTTTCTGATTGTGATTCACTACAAAGGCATAAAAAAACATTTTAAATTTATTTTTCAAAACGAAACGCAGTATAGCTTATGTTCTGTATTTCCATAATTTGTTCAATGACTTAACCCCCCCTCCCTCTAGCTGGTAAGTACCTTTAATTTGAAGTGTAATGAATATTGAGTTTTATTTTGAAAATAACTCCCGGAAGCAGTCGGTCTTTCAAAGGCTAACTTTTCGAAAGTTGGCAGCCAGCCCGTGTCAGTTAAAGCGAGGACAAGCTGTGGCCGCTCCTCTTCTCTGGGCGGTTCCACACTCAAAGAGAGAGAGAGGCGTTAAGGACGAACCATCTCCTACAAAACTATCAGCTCAGACACAAAAACATGGCGCCTACCTCCGCCAACAACTTCAGATGAGATCGCAAGAGAAGAAGTAGCCTGCAAAGTTTCATAGAACAAGACCAAGCAGCGGTTTTTTTGCCCCCTCTCTGCGCGCAAAGTCCCTGTGATAAACGGAATACATAACGCGGCGAAACACCAACTTGCCTTCATGTCAACATAGTCTCCTGTTGCAGTGGAAACAGCTGGTGAGTTCTCACGGTTTACAATATTGCGAAACTAGTGAGTGAAACGGAGTAAGTTGAGTTGACTATAAATTGCAATTAAAGTATTTTTTGAGGAGACTAGCTGCGTGTCGACAGACTTCGGTGTTACGTCTTCACTTTTCACCGTGGAAAGAGAGAGGCTGAGCCACGTATCTCCGCTGATCACTGGAGGAAACTGGCTTTGTTTTGGCCGCGCTGGTGTGTGTTTCCTGCATCGACGTTGACCTACTTCTGGGTTCAGATGCAACAGTTGGGAACACCGGAGCCCCCCCTCCTCCTATTCGGGCCCTCTTTTTGCTAATCAGCCTGCCTGAACCTCCGCAGGTGCGATTCTCCTCTGTGAACTTCCTGCTTGCGCTGTAATTCAGCACGCTGTGTTGATCCGTTGGTGCAGGGAGGTGTGGGTGTTTAACTGCACATAATGAGGAACTGTAAACCCCACTTCCTGTTAAATTAGTGGCCAGCTTTTAATCCAGGTAATTAAAGCCCAAAGTTATCTTTCTAGAACACACGATGATTTCTATACGTTAAGATGCAAAGATCAGACATGTTAACTAGTCCCTACCAGGGGCGGAGCTAGATGGGGGGGCCAGGGGTGGCCATGACCACGCTTAGCCAATCAATTCAATTTTCAATTCAGTTTATTTATATAGCACCAATTTACAACACGTCATCTCAAGGCAGTTTACAGTTCAACCAGATCATACAGTCAAATTGATTCAAAGTTTTCTATGTAAAGAAAACCAGTTGATTCCATCGACTAATTGACTCGAATGCAATCCCTCACACTAAGCATGCTTGTAGCGACAGTGGAGAGGAAAAACTCCCTTTTAACAGGAAGAAACCTCCAGCAGAACCAGGCTCAGTGTGAGCGGCCATCTGCCGAGGCCAACTGGGGTTCAAGGAGACAGAAGCAGAGATACAAAAAGCAGATTTAAAAGGCGGCCCCGTCCAGGAAACACACAGCCAGGCAGACGAGCACTTAGCCAGCTCCCATGTAAGAGGATGAAGAGAGCACATCCAGTCAGACACAGTCATAGAAACAGGACTACACTTGAAAAACAGGCCGATCTCCAACATCTATAAAAAAGGTGTTAATGGCAGCAGCACAGCTGATATTTCTTGCCAGGATGGTTTCACAGCCAAACAGGAACAGATAAGGCGAAACTACAATGAGAAAAGGCAGAGAGAGAATAACGTTAGAGATTAAACGAACAGATTCTGCAGACTAGAAGAATAGAGATATAAAGAAGGGAAATTATGAAATAGGGGTCCCTATGTCCTCCAGCAGTCTAAACATATAGCAGCATAACTATAGAGATAGCTCTGGATAACCTGATCCACTCTAACTATAAACTTTATCAAAAAGGAAAGTTTTAAGCCTACCCTAATCAGTGGCCACCCCTACCATTTTTTCTCTCAAGTAGAATATTCAAAACAATTAGATTTTATATATATATTAAGAATTACTTGACAACAAAAACACTTTGGTTAATTATGCACATCAATATTCAAACATTCAAGATGATTAGTACAGAATTCATGCTCTTTCAAAACTAGATTTTGTGTTAAATGCCATTAAGAGAAAATGATGTGACTCTGCAAGTCATCTAAGGCTACGTTCACACTGCAGCCTGAAGTGACCCAATTCCGATTTTTTTGCCCATATGTGACCTGTATCAGATCTTTTTATGACAGTCTGAACGACACAGATCGGATTTTTTCAAATGCGACCCAGGCCACTTGGATATGTGGTCCTGAATCCGATACGTATCTGATCTTTTCAAATGCGACCTGTGTCTGTACGGCCAGGTCGCATTCATCCGACCTACACGTCATTGATACTTGACAAATGTTACTAAACGTTACTAATCTGCGTCCTACTAAGCGGAGGCGGGAAAAACTAACAACCATTGCGGAAGATAACACAGAGAGCAGTCAATGGAGAGAAAGTGAGGTTGCTGACTTACCCCAGGCTCACACCGACTCCGGTCTTACCGTTGCGGTGCGGTGGGTGCGGCGCCGCAGTGATTCCAAGTCATTAAAAAGACGTAAACCTCTCTCACCGGCTGCTGAGCTGTCCGGCTGCGGTTACCGAGACACTCCGTCGCTGCAGAAAATTCCGCAAGAAAGCTATCCTTGCGGCGTGCCGGAGCCCTCCGCAACAAGCTCTCGCAAAAATCCTTTATTTGGGCCGTGTTATCGCGTGAAGTTACGTGAACTCAAGTGAACTTCTGTTAAATCTCCGGACCTGTTGCCGGAGCCGCAGAGCCGCACCGCACCGTAGTCAAAAGGGCGGTGTGAGAGGGGGTGTGCGGGAGTTGGGGTCTCCGTCAGCTCGGTAACCGCACCGGAGCCAGTGTGAGCAAGGGGTTAATTCATATTTGGGAGATAGCTCGATTCAGATCAAACTCGAAGGGTCTTACCGGAACCTGGCTCTCTTTCTTTTTGATCTTCTTAAAAAGATTTCGTTCGTAATGTGCCTGCTCCTGTTGGAGAAGAACTTAAAGAACGCAATATACGCTGCGGTATTACGAGTCATGTTTACTTCCGCAAACACTGAGGACGCTTGCTACATGTGACGTCATCGCGTCCTCGAGTGCGCATGCGGGACACTTCAGTTGAACGCTTTCAGTTCACACAGTAGATCACATACAAGTCGCATATACTTGGAAGTGTGAACGGACACGCAAAAAAATCCGATTTCACAAAAAAAATCGGAATTGAGCATTAAGGCTTGCAGTGTGAACGTAGCCTAAGAGTCTTCAGTGAAATCATAGATACTGTAAATAACTATTTTAATAAAAACCTGTTAAATTATCAATTTATGTAGGAATTAGTACCTATAAATATCAATTTCATGCACAATGACATTGATAAAAGTAGATAAGTACTGACGATGGAAAAGATGTTCGCTGCAGAACTCAAACCTGAAAGAATCCAATATACCTTTTACCTGGACGGATGTTTAATTATATGCTTCTATTTGTTAGCAAAGGCTATAGGAAAGTGTAGTTTGTCTTTATTTAGAAATATGGACGTGGGGTTTGTTCCTGTTCTGGTGGCTATCCACTTTTGGCCACCCCTCAGTATATGTTGCTTATTGCCTGGCCAGCCTTATAACAATTTTCTGGCTACGCCCAAGAAGCTTTTGTATAGTTCTAAGTAGATATTTGAATACTCTTCCTATTAGAGGTGATAGTATTCCTGACAGAGTGGCTTCAAGACCAGTTTAATTTGTCTGTATTTGGCATAGTAATCAGTGTCAGGTGATGTTGAATAATTTGCAGCACAACTTAAAGCAAAGTAGACCCACAGCATGATGCTGCCACTAATACATTTGAAATCAAACAAGCACATAGTATGATGCTGCTTATAAGTTATAAGCCCTCATTGTAACCCCCTCCAAAGTGTTCCAGTTTTAACCATTTAGCTCATTCTGATCCTCAGCATGATGCTAACATCACCATGCTTGACAGTTGGCACAATGTATAGGTTTCTGAACCCTCATATTTTTATTTTTTTTATTTTACTCCTCCAATTGTACTTCCTGTCATCTTTTCCAAGTTAATATTGTTTGTGTTGGTTGATTCTAATATTGGATGTGCTTAAAGGTGTTGGTTAGTGTTCCAAACATTCTGATTAGCTTCTTTTTAACAATTTGGATCAGATGGTTGAGACGACAGACACACTAGGACAATAATCCTAAACACGCATCAATATGTGTAAATGTCTTCTTTTTACCTATAGTGAGACAAAGTTACGTTAAATTTTTTTTTTTATTATTATAGTAATTTTATTACAGATATAATACCAAGAGTTTCTTGCTAATGTCATAAATGAGTTAATAAGCGATTCATGCCCATAAATGCAAGCTTCCTATGCACAGTAAAAGCAAATAGATTGACAAGCTGGAGTTAGTGTAATCATACGAGTATGAGAGGCATTTCCTCTCTTTTGTGGGCGTATAATGAGGACAAACGCTATTTAATCCAAGGTGCTCCCATATCTATGCCTCAGCACTTGAGTTTATGCCAGGTAGCAGGAGAGGAAACCCCAAGGGTAGATTCCAAACGATCTTCTCATGGTGATTCATGCTGCTGTGGTCGCAGTGCGAGCCACTTTGTACGTATTGTGCATAGAGCGTTCGTATTTTTCTGAACGTGTCACCTGAGATGGCTGGAGGAATTTTGCATCCTGACAGGATAATTGAGACACATGGGGGTGGCAGAATTCGCAGAGCAGCTGCTGCCACGTAGAAAAACACACGGCCACAACTTCTCCCCTGACCGGAGATGGAAAAGACGAGTGGACGGAGGGAAGGTTTTGCTCCTGCGTACTGCCTCAGGCTGGAGATATTAAGTGGGTCATGGCTGCACTGTGGCTTTGTGTACATTGAACTTGCAATTTGTAACCACCCCTGCTTGCCCTAAGCCTCTGTCAGGTGACTAAGGAAATGCAGTGGGAGGGCTAACGGAGCAGCAAGAGCAAGACAAAGTGCTCACTAGCTGCCAAATCAAAAGTCAACCGAGGGTTTCAATGAATGTGAGAACTCCCCGAGGGGATTGTTAGGGGAGAATGAGAGGAATGTTTCTGTTAAAGCTTTAGAGTTGTATGAAATACCCGCCTGTCCTTTCATAAGGCAAACCATTGGATTTGTACTCACTTCTCAATTACTGCAGGGAGCACAAAGTCTAGAAGTCTGACTCTACACAAATGATTACATTTAATAAGATGGGTGAGACTTGGGATTATTAACAGATTTTGACTTCATAAGAAGTCATAATCTTAAAATTTGAATTATATACTATGGAGTTACAGACCAAATCAACCTTTGGTCATTTAAAAATAAAGTTAAAAAAGCCTACCTATAAGTCACTCCTACAGAACAAGACCTAATGGGAAGTAGCTAATGTTGCTCTGATTGCTCAGCATGGAAAACATGCTCCTAATGGGGACTTTCTCGCCATGGTAACGGTTTT